TAAATAAATCAAGGTAAAATAATGCCATTATTTTTATTTTGGCTTACTTTCGCCATATCCTCTTCATTTAAAAATAAAGTTAATACTTTATTTTTATCCTGTAATAAGACCGGTAATTCATGCAATTGTTGTAATCGCTGTTCCATCGCAAATCGCAAATATTCGTCTGTTCACTGTTGTATTGTCCGGTACTCGTTGCTCGTTCCGAATTACAAATCATGCGCATAGACAGCATGAACGCATCAGATGCATCAACTGCCTCAGATCGAAAGAGAAGCAGTCAATGCGCTGAGTGGAATGCTATGAATTCAGTACGGTTAATACATCTGGGGAATTCAAGTACTCTCGAAGCGCTTTCGAAGCGCGCAATAGTTAATTCGGAACGATTTTCTATGCAGTCTACGCGCTTCATGCGTAACTCGGAACGCACCCTTAAGGTACTTTTTCATGCGCAGCACGCTGCTGCAGCAATTCGTTACTATTGGTTAAGAATTTTATGTAAGCTAGACGACGTACTTCCGGCGCAAATACATTTTGCCGCAGTTCGTTGAAGTTGAACCGAACGAACAGCAAGCAGCAAGCGGCAAAATCGAGAAAGCGTACAATATGTCCGTCGTTTCATTATAAAAATATTATTTATTGCAATAAATATTAGGAAAATAAACGAAAAATGGCTTCGGATAAGGTACGGATACATGTTTGTAAATTAGATCATTTTATACTTTACCACAAATTTGAAAAAGTAAAGTGTAAAGTATAAAATGATCTAATTTACAAACATTCGTACCTTATCCGAAGCCATTCTTCGTTAATTTTCCTAATATTTATTGCAATAAATAATATTGCCTCGATTTTGCCGCTTGCTGCTTGCTGTTCGTTCGGTTCAACTTCAACGAACTGCGGCAAAATGTATTTTGCGCCGGAAGTGCGTCATCTAGCTTACTTAAAATTCTTAACCAATAGTAACGAATTGCTGCTGCAGCGTGCTGCGCATGAAAAAGCACCTTTATACTAACAGTCTCATCCAAAGACATAGGCCGATATTCATAGTCAGTTCTTATATTCAAGATTGTCTTAAGTTCAGTCTTGAGGAGTTACGAACCAATCAGAGGACCGCTTTAGCATCTTAAGACA